CCGCCGGTTGAGCCGGCCAACCGGCCAACCGGGAAACCGGGCAACCGCCGGTTGAGCCGGCCAACCGGGAAACCGCCGGTTGAAAACCGGCGAAACAGCGAAGCACAAACCAAACCGTGTTGATTCCATGTAGGCAGTTAGCGCAACCCCCCCCCCAACACGCACGTAATGAAGGAACTTCGTCACACCTTTCTGCGATTTTTGACTCTGGTACCGGGCAACCGCCGGTGTGGCCGGGCAACCGGGAAAGGTGTTCGAAGTTAATTACTTCATTACGCGCATGTTGGGGGGGTTGTGCTAACAGTCTACATTGAATCAACACGGTTTGGTTTTTGGAATACTAGCAAAACTTACACCTGCTGAAGGCCTCTTTAAACACTCGTTTCTGCCATACAGGAATTTGGATGTTAGAGTTAATGTTAGAAGTCACGTTGGGGTTTATGTTGTTGGTGCATAGGCTAGTCTGCATAGTATGTATGAGTGGAACTTCAAGACGCCGTAACTGTTGCTGATGCTTGTGCAATGTGTGAAGCGCTGCCAACTCTGTATGGTATAAGAGGACGGATGTTGGAGATAACTGATGTGAGAAGGCTTGAGGAGTTCGATTAAGGTAGCACGGCTACAATTCCCTCACTTGGGTGCCCAGCATATCAATCACCAGCACCATCTAACGGTTTGTGGCACGTTTCATTTCTTGGCACACTTGGTACTGCTCGCGTCGAATACTAATCGGATCGCAGGCTGCGGATCTGGCTCTCAGCTCCATGTGCAATATTTTTCCTCGATCTCACTTCCACACAGGCGTGCGCCTCTCTTTGGGCGTAGGGTCCTGAGCTGAAGTGTGCGCAGAGGAAATTATTGAATTTCAGTGCTGCAGTTCGCTGCAACTAACGCTGCTGCTTACCATGCAGCCAAGTTTGCGCTCAAAACAGTTCAAAACAACTTCCTTTGGGTTTTGGGACCGATGGAAGGAGCGCTTGCGACTTGGAAAAGTGTCAGCGCCTAGAACGCAGGTAGTTGTGGCGTTTGTTGTCAAGAGGACAGCTGGTGAGAAAAACAACAGTGGTAAGGGTCAATGTACTTGGAAGAAATTCGACACTGTCATTTCAGCTTGGGTTCATGCAAAGACCCGGGCAAAGTGGCCGTGCGATCTTGATTAGATGGCTTGATTTTGAATGGGGTCTCTATGACTAGAGAATCCGGGAACATCTCCAAAAACGGAGGTGCCAAAGTTTGACATCTAAGCTTTCATGGATAGGGCGACCCTTCTCAACAAACACGTTTAACATGTCAAAGAGGTGCACTTTTTGTTTGGTCGCCACCTGTGGAGCTTGATGAGCTTAGCTGTAGGGATGCAAACGGCCAAACAGCTTGCAAGACAAGAGTCTCTCGAAGAGCGTCGCGCAAGAATACCAGCAGCTGCATGCCCAGCCAAAAGAACACCAGCCAGCTGCATGCCCAGCCAGTGTCAATTTTCCTTGGATGGCGCATTTGCCGGCCCCGGCCCATTCGCGTCAACGGCGCCTCAGCAATCTCGGCTTCCAGGGCCGCTGTGCGCATCTGCGCCGCCCACGCGAACTCTTGTGCCTCGAAGCCACGCGCATTATGGTTGTAAGCATATCTGCGAGTGTTGCGCTGCAGCGCGACCAGCTAAGAGGGGTTGTGATGGAATGAACTACCACAACTTCAGGGAGGATGCCCCCAGGCATCACCCCTCGCTACACAAGCTGCTTTGGTGACGAAAGTTTTTTGGGGCGCATAAAGCAAATAGCCCTACGCTGTCACAGCTCTATACTGCTGTGCTTCGTGTGTTTGAGCGCCTCACCCTCAACTTGGCACAAAGGTTCAAACAGAACCGAGAACACTTGGAGGGTGTGCAGCAAAGCCGCTCCAAAACAAAGAAGCGTAAAAGGCGGTCTTTAGCTCAACTCCCCCTTCTCTGAACCCAGCTGTCCTCGAAAAAGGCTGCGCGCCGCAGCCATGCGTTCCCACATCTAGGACCCACAAGTACCACAAGTATCCGCAACTATATAGTTGAGCGTGGTTGTGTTTTTTAAGTGTTTGTTCTAGCTTATGTCCTTTCTTTCTTGAAGTAGAATTCAACCACAATCACTGACTGCCCTTCCATGTGAGGGCTCGCACTC